CTCAGAGAAACCAACAGGTCGACATTAATGTGCTTTGCAACTTTTTCTGTGCATGTCAATCAAATTTCATTGATTCAGTGCTCATGTTATTGTAGCTTTCCTTTCCCTAGCCCTTTGGGAACATACACATGTTTAAATTACTCAATAGCCGAATACCATTCATTTAATCAGAACTGAAGATTCTCCTCATCCTCCTCATGTGCAACCTTGTCCTGGGGTGACAGCACAAACCTCAAACTCTGGGTTTATGGTCAGGTGTTGATCCTTGTGCATAGAACTTTGTTGTCCATGCAGGAACAGTAATTTCCATCCCTTCATAAATGGTTTTCTCAGTAATACGACATCTAAACATCTAATCTAATTTTCTCTGTTAGTTCCAGACTTCTAAGGGTGTTTTCCATTCAGTTTGGGATCTTAATTGTGTTCCTTTCTTTTCTTTGAAGCTACTTCACTTTTCAGGATGTTCTGACTTTCAAGTTTATTCAGTAAAAGAGATGTTGTGTAAGTGCTGCTGGTAGGAAGCTCAAGGGTGGGAAGTTTGTTTCCATGCTCCCAGTGTTATTTGTATCAATAGCAAAAGGTTCTAAAGATGAAGAAATAGGAATGTTCCTCCTGGAATTGTAGCTGTGATGCAGTGCAAGTCTCTAAAAAAAGAAGGATGCTACTTTTGCTTACTAGGATGGAAAGTTCACTTGGTATTTCTGAAAATACTCAGTTTTCATGGTCCTGTCATCAGCTAAACTCTTAATTAAAAAAAAAAAAATTAAACTGTTTTCTGATCATCAGGACCACTGAGATGAAAGCAGTGGCAGTGTGGTCCACAGTGCTTTCAACCCAGTGCCTCTGATCAGACTTAGAATAGTTTCTGTGTTTCCACTTTTTTCTTCCTATTTGAAAAGGCAACTGCACCATCCTGGGCACAAGTGAAATCAGATCCTGGTACATGCAAATAAATTTAAGAATGGTTTTATAAACTCCTAAGAATGGGGTTAGGGTGATTATACCTTAACATAGCTCTGTGAAAAAATCTGGAGAGGTGTCAGCTATTTCCAACAACCTTACTCTCCATATAGTTATTCAGTCCATGGTATACATCAGATTTTTTCCCCCTGCATAAAATCTACAACACTGCCGGAATTAGAATTTAATTTCAAAAAGGGGTAAAATCTCAACCCTATAAATGGTCTTATTACCTCAAAAAAAGAAAAAAAAGAGTATATGCTTAGCCTGCCTTTTGCTTCTTCTTTTGCTTGCTTCTTTTATTTTGCTAATCAAATATCAAACCAAAAGTAACCATGAAAGTTTTATTCTGCCAAATATTATTTTTGCTATTTTTATTCAGCAACTCTACACAGCCACCTTCTTTATGTGTGCTCTCTTCCCTTTCTCATGGACCTCAGTAGAACACAACAATATTGATTCAGCACTCAAAAACGTGTCTTGCAGCAAGCTGAGTTTTCTGATGGTTTGTCAGAGACTTCCTTAACCCCCACCCTCAGCAGTGATAGCAACTAAGTTGTCACTTAGGGAGAAAACTTGTCAAGCAAAATCATGTTTGTGCTCTTTCAGCCTTAAAAGGGGAAAAAAAAAAAAAAAAAAAAAAAGAAAACCCACAGTCCAAAACACATACACAAAAATGGGGAGGAAAAAAAGAAGAACCATTTTCCTACACTTCTCAGTATATGGCGTCCCTGTAGCTGGAGATCCTAATCCTGCTAACAGAAAGGAGATTGGATAGAAATAAAGGAAATGGGAAATGGAAAGCATTAGGATGCAGGATGCTGCCTGGGACTTGCCTCACTCTGTGCTGTATGACAGGAATTGCCAGCAGTGGAAAATCCCTGCCTGCCTCAGCCAGGGCACGCAGGGCTCCCCTGCCCCTGGGGCTCTCACCTGGCACTTTCCTCATGGCCAGCACTTGCTCTGCAGCTCCCATTTCCCAATGGTTTTAGGCATTTATTTGTATAGGAAAAGGGACACATTTGTCTCTTGCAGAAAACTGACAAGTTATTTACACTTCAGGCTTTCCTGTGGGCTTTACCAGACGTGCTCAACCTGTTGCAGAAGAACACCTTCTAAAATTTTGAAAGAGGAAAAAAGATGATCTGAATTCCTATTTTATCCAAGGTGTTAATGATATAAAAATGAAAAAAAAAAAAGTTGGGTTTGGGGTGTACAGAATAAATTTTTGCACTGGTTTCCTTCACGGAGATCCATAGTGCAGTCTTAGGGCGTTTGAGCCAGATGTGTTGCCGAGGGATGCAGGAAGAATTGAGGCTCCGGCCAGCTTCATCAATCTGTCATTCATGTGGACACTGGAAAGAGCTGACATTTGTCAGGTTGTTAAAAAGCTCACAAAAGCCCCCAGAGTTTTGTGTTGTATAAGCCCAGTCTGTGCCTGTCCCTACATCTGGGCAGAAGTTATGGGTGATGCCTTGAATCAGCCCATTTCCCTGAAATCACCACAGCTCAGGAAGGATTTTGGATGTTGGGAAACATTAAACAACTGCTGCTCAAGTGAGGATCCATACTCCTTACAAAAATTTGTCAAATTTTTTGCATTTGGAAAATGTCTGCACAGGAGTGGAGGGAGAAGGGAAAGGGAAAGAGAGGAAGAGAGAAGAGAAGAGAAGAGAAGAGAAGAGAAGAGAAGAGAAGAGAAGAAGAAGCCCCCATTTGTCCTCTATGAATTTTTTATTTTCTTTCTTAACTTGTTACAGTATAAAATGGCCACAACATTATCTGCCCTAACAAAGGAGCAGAAGATAGGTGATTTTTGGCAAAGTGGTCTGAATTGGAAAATTACGGCAGGCTCAAGTTTACTGGTATTTAACACATCCAAAGTCTTGGAGGCAGAGTGAATCTCACCCTGAAGTGTTCCTTAACAGGGTTTCAACACTGATATAGTTATAATTTAAATAATATTGTTATTTAAACATAAATAATATATTTAATATAAAAATAAATATAACTAATACTAAATAATAATATTATAATAAATGATAGAGGTAATTTAAATACAAACATATTTTTATTTAAATTAATATCATGATGAATATGATGTTTTGCCATGTCCATGTTAGACATATTCTCCATCTAAACATCAGCTACACAAACACATCTCTCTGATATTTTTACAGTGTATTACTTACCCTGTTTGAAATATAGAATTCCTGTAGGGAATTCTTAGAAACCCTTGTAATGCAGTAAATCCTTTAGCTGCTTGAAGTCAGTTAATAGGCTTTTTAACACTAATCACAGCTCTGTGCTTGACAAATATATCAGGATAGTGCATTCACTGAGGGAAGTTGATACTGTCATTCATTATTTTATGACTTTGCATTAGACAAACTGAAATCAGACTTCTATCTCTAATGGGAAAAAAAAGAAGTAAATTTGCATTTCTTTCTGGGAAAGGCAGGATTAATGACATCAAATACTTAGCAACTCTTCTGCTCAGAGTCTTTAATTCAACATAAGATAATTTACACAGTAGGACAGAAACAACTTCTAAAGACTCTGGAGTAGAAGTGGCCAGAACATTTTACATATTAGCAAATTCTTCTCAACTTGCCTACTGAAGAACTAGACATGCTAACTTTTAGCTATCTTACTTTTGAAACTTCATGATAGCTACTGAAAAATTATTGTCTTTGAGCTGTTCTGGTTTTCTTAATGTACTGAGAGTGCTTTGAGCCAGAAAAAAAAACCCAAAAAAAAACAACACCACATTTTATAAGCATTTATAGGAAAAATAAACTCTTTATGACTACAGTAGAGCAGTGTCTGTGCACTGTTAAGCATGCAGGGGCATTATTATTGGTTACCTAACTAACAAAAGGAAGGACAAATAAGACTGTAAAAACACCTCACATTTAAAATAAATGTGGTCTGTAGACCATTCTGAACCAGTGTATTTTGGCAAAAACTGAAAATAAAAGAAACCAACAAAACCTCGACTTGAGTCTACTAACCCAAGTCCTGTAGCTGGGGAAAATTTGCTGTGACATCTGACCAGAATTTAGAACAGTATCAGCAAAATAATATTTTAAATAATTCTGCATTTGTTATTGCCCATGAGAAAAACGCCCTGAGGGGTTCCAGCTCCTCACCTGCCAGCAGGAGCCTCCAGCCAGGGCTGGTTTCATTGCCACTGGAATGGTTTTATTTCACTATTAATATAGAGTTCTATTAATATAGAGTTCTTTCCTGCACACACAGTAGCCCTTCCAAGAACTTTTGGCGTTGAAACTCATGTTGGCTTTGGGGCCAGGGGTAAAACAATCAAGGTATTTCTCTGTCATTTTAGCCCTAATTTTTGCAAGTGTTTTGACAGATATTTTATTATTATTATCCCACTAACACTAAGCACACTTCTGCAGCTCTGTATTTCTGTGTTGTCAATTAAGTTCTTTTCTGACTCAGAGATGGGGCAACTGAGAGGTGTTTTCAAAACTTTTATTCTATTTTTAGTCTCATGTGAAGTGTAAAACAATACAAATGTTATAATTAATATACAATACGTATATTTGCTATCAAGATCAAAAACTATTTCCTAATTACATTACAAATGTAATGTAATAGGTTTCTTAACCTATCAACTTTTACCACACCACACTATAAATACTTTGAAACTAATAATCTAAAATTACCCTTCATAAATCATACTACAATATGTCTTTCATAATTCTATTTCTCTAAAGTATCTAATCTTGTTTACAAGTCCAATCTTTAAAACTTGTTCCTAGTTCCATTTCTCTCTCAACAATGCCTATCCTATTCCATAACATCTCTAAATCAACGTTTCTTGTCTCAAGGTTCGCATCCAAATACACACTATGTAAACTTTCTGTCAAACCTTAAAAATTCTCTACAAATCCATTTCCCACGCTGGATCTCTTTTGTGTATTGAAGTGCAATCACTACTTGGGTGATGCTGCAGCTTTCTGTGTTCGGGTCCCTCCGGCTCGGTCACTGATGCTCTTGCCCCGCATTTGCAGGAGAGCTGCTCCCTCTGCTGAGTTCTCCGTGGATCGCCACCGGCACCTGATGTCCTTCCTGACCATGCTGGGCCCCAGCCCCGACTGGAACGTGGGGCTCTCTGCCGAGGATCTCTGCACCAAGGACTGCGGCTGGGTCCAGAAGGTCGTGCAGGATTTGATCCCTTGGGATGCCGGCACCGACAGCGGCGTCACCTACGAGGTTTGGGCTCTGCCTCTCATTTATCCAAATTATCTCCTCACAGCAGTTCAGTGGGAAAGCAGTTTGATCCATTGTGATGCCTTTTTTACTCAATTTTTTCTTAAAATGAAAGACTATTTGTTTAAAGACATGTTAACTACACGTTGCTGTCGGTGGTTTTACCTGAGCTCCTTCAACATTGGCACTCACGAGGATGAGGTGAGATCCACCTGGGGTGGTTTTACCCCAGAAGGACAGGATGGGAAAGGTTGGAAAGAAGCACAGTGAGTCCAATCTGGTCCAATCTCCCTGTTCAGGCAGGGTCATCCTAGAGCAGGTTATAGGGTTCTGTAGAGCTGTTGAATAGCCCCTGTAAGGGAGGCTCTGCACCCACTCTTGCAATCTTTCCCAGGGCTTGGTCCCAGGACAGTAAAGAATTTCTCATTTATGTTCACCTGTTAAATTCACCTATTGCATAAACAGAGGACTTTGGTCACAACCAAGCCTTTGAGTGCCCTTTAGTACAGACCAAAGCAGTGCCATCATCAGCTCCAGCGTGGGGCTGTTTCAACCCAATGCCAACTGCTCTGTTTGGCACAGGAAACTTCAACTCTTCCTTTCAGCAAAGCAGAGCAAAACCAACAACAACAAAACCCCCCAAACCAACAAAAAACCTCACAAAAAAAACCCCAAAACAAAACAAATCCTCATACCATTAAGTATGAGCGTACCCTGTTCACCTCACGCTGGAATTTTGCAGTTTAGCATTTCAGAGAAGTTTTAATTTCTGCAGATTAACTATTATTTTCTTTTATAACACTTTTCCTTCTTTTTGATTGCAGTCTCCTAACAAACCTACAGTGCCTCAGGAGAAGATCAGACCTCTTACAAGCCTAGATCATCCTCAAAGCCCATTTTATGATCCAGAAGGAGGATCTATCAAGCTGGTGGCCAGAGTTGTCATCGAGAGAATCGCACGAAAGGTAGAATTCATATAAGCAAAATTCTCAAGCAAGCAAAAATCCACTTTGTAACCAAAAAAACCAATCCATTCTTTCTCCACCTTCCCTCCAAATCTACACTCCTTAACCAACACCACAGCAAAGATAATGCCAGAAAATATTTAAGCTGTCTTTAGGTGTTAGTTCTCCTAATTCTGGCAATCATTGCATTTCCTTATTTGGGGATTTTCTTTATGTACACCTAGGAATTTGAAGGAAAAAAGGTGCTGCAGACACAGCAGTGTCTCACAATGTACTGATTTAACCTCTCATGGATGAGTTTCCTCTCTTCACTGTTCAAAGTCTTTTATTTTTTTCCAGGGGGAGCAGTGCAATATCGTTCCTGATAACATAGATGATATTGTGGCAGATCTAGCACCAGAAGAAAAAGAAGAAGGTACGTTTGAAATTAATTTGTGCACTACTAATAATTTATATTTCGTTCCAGTGTCTGCTGTCACTTGTAGATAAGGTACAAAACTGACTTAGGAACAAAAATTCCACTTACTGTCAAACAGTGATTTAGGTTTTCTTCTCTTCTGGTCTCTTCTATTACCTCTCCCTTGTACAGAAAAGAAATTGCATGTATATCTAGGAGATGACAATAACAATACAGGCAATAAAAGAGAGAAGACTTTTGGGGTTCAAATAATTTTTTTTTAAAGAAAGTTGGCAGTTGGAATTTTTGTTTTTCTTCTGGGCTACAATGGAGAGGATAGAATGCAGAAGGAAATAATGTATTCTATTGGAATCTAAAGTAATCATCAACCAAGATAAAGGAAGAAAATGAAAGACCATTTTTAACAGTCAATGCCTTTCCTCACTTTTCAGATGACACCCCTGAGACTTGCATATACTCAAACTGGTCCCCATGGTCAGCCTGCAGCTCCTCTACCTGTGAAAAGGGCAAGAGGATGAGGCAGAGGATGCTCAAAGCTCAGCTGGACCTCAGCGTGCCCTGCCCAGACACCCAGGACTTCCAGCCCTGCATGGGCCCAGGCTGCAGCGATGAAGGTAACCAGGAGTGGAAGGTGGAGGAGAAGAATGCCTTGGGGAGTTTGTTTCTCCTCTAAAGTTCTCAGGGGTGTCAGTTGCTGTAGTATGGGTTGTGGCCAAGAGAAGATTGCTGAAGAACACGAGTGAGTGGCAGCTGCCTGTGGTGAATTCTGCAAGCCAGCTGTGTCAGGGCATGAAGGGCACAGAAGGATGAAGGAGAGGAGTGAGGGATGCTGTGGAGGTTTCGGGGGTTTTGGGTCTTCAAAGGGACAGTTTTTGGGAGTAGTAAAGTTGTTTATTGCATGAATACATCAGTCTCGAAGGCAAGGGGTTCAGAGTATTAATGTCTGTGCTAAAAGGTTTCTGGCGTAAGGTCCAGAGCAGAAATAGCTGCAGCAATTCCCACCTTTTTTCTTCTTCTTCCTTCCTTTCATCTTCCCTCTTTGCACCCCAGTACAGGGGTTTTATTTATAAATTATCCAAATAGCTAAAAACACGACTCTAAAACATTCTTTTTACGCCATTCTAATGTGTGAAAGTAGTGACAGTTCTTACCCAAATCTATGCACATAATTTTATATATTTACCTAGATGGTTCCATCTATTCTATCTAGAAAGGCAAGCAATGTTCTGCTATGTTTTTGTTATGCCTGGGGCTAAGTTACTGAACTTTAAACTAGGCTTTAGGGCCTTTTACCAGCTAACACAGTCTCTTAAGCCACTTGGGATATATTTCTATTTACTTAAAAATAAAACTTATCCTTTTATCACATGTGTGTTTGGCTTAATATATTTCAGCTTCTCTAGAGGTTCTGATTCAAACCCTGCATTTCTTTTTCTCCCTGAGGGACTCAGAGAGGCTTCTATTCCATGCAGTTCAACAGAGGAGAGGACAGTGGGAAAGGCAGCACAGGAGGGATGCTGCACACAACTGGGCAGCAGCTCTGTCCATCCCTGTGGCCTCAGTTCTCTTCACAGAGAGCAGCAGGCACAACTCTCTCCCAGGATTTTTCCTGGGGAAGGCGGTGAGATGCTCAGAGAAGAAGAGAAAAAAATTGTTATCTCTATTCGCTGCTCCTGTTGTTTGACACATGTGGAATGTGTTATGGAGATTGTTCACCCAAAGTGACTTGGTTATTGGACACTGGTGAAGGTTGTTTTGTTTCCTTGGCCAGTTGGGTCAAGGCTGTGTCCTGGCTGTCTCCAGACAGTCACAGGTTTTTTTTATTCTTTAGTACAGTATCTCTTTAGTATGTAATTTAGTATAGCATTAGTGTAATATAGCCTAGCTTAATAAAGCAATTATTCAGCCTCCTGAATTGTGGAATCAGAGCACATTATTCCCTGGCTGGGGGGCACCAGATTGATCAATCCCAGCCCTGAGTACTCTCTGTGTTCCAGATGGCTCCACCTGCATGATGTCTGACTGGATCACCTGGTCCCCCTGCAGCGTCTCCTGCGGGATGGGGACGAGGTCCCGGGAGAGATACGTCAAGCAGTTCCCTGAGGATGGCTCCATGTGCAAAGTGCCCACTGAGGAGACTGAGAAGTGTATTGTAAATGAGGAATGCTGTAAGTATTTCGTTCAGCCTCAAAAAATCCAGCCAATAGCAGGAGCACTGCCCAAATGGGTCTTACTGGGGTCCCACAGAGCTCCATCTTAGGTCCTGTGTTCTTCAATACCTTAATAAATGACTTGGAGGCAAGATTGGAAGGGACACAAAGCAAATTACCAGATGATTCAAAACTGGGAGGAGCTGCTGACTCTCTCAAAAGCAGGGAGGCCCTGCATACAGACCTCAGCAAATTAAAGAGCTCTGCAATCACCAACCACATGAAGTTCAACAAGGGAAAGTGCTGGATCCTGCACCTGGGATGGAGCAACCCTGGCTGTACAGACAGACTGGGGAATGAGGGGATGGAAAGCAGCACCAGAGAAAGGGACGTGGGGGTCCTTGGCAGGCTGAATGTGAGCCAGCAGTGCCCTGGAGCCAGAAGGGACATCCCTGTGCTGGGGACATCATCACATGCATGAGGCACAGCATCACCAGCAGGGCAAGGGAGGGGATTGTCCCACTCTGCCCTGAGCTGGGGCAGCCCCACCTTGAGTGCTGGGGCAGGTCTGGGTGCCACAATGGAAAAAAAAGTTATTGAGCCATTAGAGAGTGTCCAAAAGTTATTGAGCCATTGGAGAGTGTCCAAAGGAGGCCACTGGGATGGTAATGGTTCCAGAGGAAACGCCATGAGAGGAGTGTCTGGGGGTACTGGGTCTGCTCAGCCTGCAGGAGAGGAGACTGAGGGGAGACCTCAGTGCAGTTACAAATTCTTTGTGAGGCAAAGAGGAGGGGCAGGCACTGATCTCTGCTCTGTTGTGACAGTGACAGGAGCCAAGGGAACGGCCTGAAGTCGTGTCAGGGGAGGTTTGGTTTGCATATCAGAAAAAATCTGGGCACTAAAACAAGGTCCCCAGGGAAGTGGTCACAGCACCAACCTCGCTTCAAGAAGAGTTTGGACAACACTCCTGGGGACATGGTGTGATTCTTGGGGATGACCCTGTGCAGGGCCAGCAGCTGCACTCCATGGGGGTCCTTGGGGGTCCCTCCCACCCAGCTGATGCTATGATACTGATGAGCAATGTTCTCTGCCTGCTTTGAACAGCTCCCAGCAGCTGCCTGGTCACAGAGTGGGGTGAGTGGGACGAGTGCAGCGCCAGCTGTGGCACAGGCATGAAGAGAAGGCACAGGATGATCAAGATGACTCCTGCTGATGGATCCATGTGCAAGGCAGAAACCACGGAGGCAGAGAAGTGCATGATGCCCGAGTGCCGTGAGTGGCCAGGAGCTCCTCTCTCCCCTGCTCTGAGAACAAACATCACTTCTGACACACTGCCCCAGCACACAAAGAACACAGCTAAGCCAGCAGCAATGCTGCTTCTCCTTGTCCTCCCTAAAACTGGGAGAAAAATCTTAGGCATTAAGTAGCACATTCACTGTCAGGATGAGAGCTTCAATACAAAATGTTCAGTGGCGTCCTGTTGCTGTATGACCCACACAGAGGTGTGTGTACCAGCAAGCCATACCTAAACAACTCTGAGTTATGTAATATGGGGTATATTTGACCATAAGGCTAGAATAAAACACATGAAACAGTGCCCTCCCCTTTCAACCCCTGAAAATGTCAGAAATTGAGGTGTTTCTTTTGTGCAATCAGCCAGCCACACCCTTACTGTCACTATTAATTTCTTATGAAATGTTACATTTTCATCAGAGATAATTTTAAAAATATTTTTGGTAGATTAAATATCTATTAAATATCTATTAAATTTCACTTGTTAGACTAAATTAAGTTGACTTACAGTTCTATTCACTGCAACAATCCTTTTCTTTTTTTTCTTTACAGGAGTTGGTATTGAAACATAAATTATTATCCTTAAACTATTTATTCCCCAGATGCACTGAGACCCAGGAGATATGACTTAGATACAGGAAAAGATAGCAAAGATATTTAAATCAAGCAAACCTTTCAATTTAATATGAAGTTTTCTGAGCTTCTTCAGCAGCACCCTTCAGCTTGTGACAAGAAAGCATAATTGGCTGATGACAGATAAAACATGGCACATTTTCCACCTGTATTATTTTCAAAATTTATACCTTCATGCTTTATTTATAGGAATAAATTGTTAATAATAAGATAATTAATTGCATTTTTATTTCCTACCAGATACCATCCCGTGCCTGCTGTCTCCCTGGTCTGAGTGGAGTGACTGCAGCGTAACCTGTGGGAAGGGAATGAGAACCAGGCAGAGGATGCTGAAATCTGCTGCTGAGCTGGGAGACTGCAACGAGGAGCTGGAGCAAGCAGAGAAATGCATGCTGCCAGAATGCCGTAAGTTTGGAGAATTCCCTGGGAAGGGGAGGCTAATTGTGTGTCAAAATCTATGGATCACACCTCCATCACCACTTCTTAAATAGGCAGGGTATCAAGCATGCGTTGTTTAAAAAAAATTATTTATTATTATTGTTATCATCATAATTATCGCACACTTTCAGTAACTGAGAGCTGAAATATGACTGTGTCTTAAATTCAGCTTGCCCTACATCACCCCATGCTTATTCCCAATATTTCTATGGGAATCCAGCTCTGCATGTTTGACGCGCTGCAGCTCCAGGCAACTCCCCAGTAGGAAATAAGTCAGAATTATAAAACCTGGCTTATTACTCAAATGCAGACAGTGTGCCAGGAAAGAAGGAAAGAAGAGTTGAAATCACCTGTGGGATTCTTTCAGCTCAGAAAGAGCACAAAAGAGGCTTTCTCCACCTTTGATACACCTCTGAATGGTATCACTCTGCAACCTGCTGCTGGATGGTGTGGAGGCAGCTGCAGAGACTTTTTTACCTTATTTGATTAAAATCCCCCACTTCTTGGGTACAGCAAATTTCTGGTTGCTTTTCAGTCTTTGTGAAGTGTGATAGCCTAAGGCACTGCTGAATGAATGAGATATGATTGCCTTCAGCATCCTGTTTCCAGCTGGTTTGTGAGGTTTTATCACAAATTACATTATTTTTCACAGAAATTATGGGTTAAAAGGGCTTTTACACTGTAATTGCTCATTCAGCTTTTCTTAAATAATGTGAAATATCATTTTGATTTTTATTCACTGGGGCTGTAAGTGTTAAGCAGTGCTCAAAGATGAAGAATTTTAAGATATAATGGTATTAGTGAATGTGGCTTATTGCATAACACTGCCAGCAAAGCAAGGCTCAGATCTCAGAGGTAGCAAATTATTTTTAAATATAATTCAATTTTCAGCAGCTTTTCATTACAAAACAGACAGATGGGTGGGAAAATTGAAGAAGGCACAGGAGAATTATTTATATGTTCTTTGTAATTTTAGCGATCTGCCAGCACCACTTTCGAAGAAGAAATTGAAGAGCATGTCAAATAACACTTCTGCTAGAAATGGACTCAGAAAATTCTGACATGCAACCTCCAAACAATTGCTGAGAAGACTGGAGGCTTACGTGTAGTTGGGGTGCAAGGATTCATCAGGCACACCTGTGTGTTTCTGTGTTTAGACCTCATGGTTTTGGTGTAATTCTTTTTTGTGTTTCTTCCTCCCTGCAGCCATCCACTGCGAGCTGACGGAGTGGTCCCAGTGGTCGGAGTGCAACACCTCCTGTGGCAAGGGCCACATGATCAGGACGAGGATGATTAAAATAGAGCCGCAGTTTGGGGGAGCAGCCTGCCCCGAGACCGTGCAGCGCAGCAAGTGCAGGGTGAGGAAGTGCCTGAGGGGAGCAGGGATGGAGAAAAGGCGCTGGAAGGAGGCTCGGGAGAAAAGGAGAAGCGAACAAGCCAAGAAGAGTTTAGATAGTGAACAATATCCAGGTGAGTGTGAAAGTACTTTTAGGGGGTTTCTGCATGACAGGGATTTATTAAGAGGCCTCAATGGATCCACCTTGGGCAGCACAAACCAAAATGGCCCCAAGATGCGTGAGCGCTCCCGGGCTCTCTCCCTGGGATCAGTTCTGCTCCATTTGCACCTTGCAGTTCATTGTCCCATTCCAGCTTTAGCCCAGGCAGTCCCACCCTGCTTGTTTTTCTCTCTGCAGCCCACGGTGTTTGTGCTCTGGGGCTGAGATTGGGATCATTTGTCCTTGGTGCCCAGCTGGAGCAGGAATTGTTTTGTCTCCCTGCTCTGTGCACAGAGCTCACCATCCCTGAATGTGAAGCCCAGACCCACACACTAAAGATCACAGAATGTGAAAAATATGAAAACTAAACCCTGAGGCATCAACAGGAGTTTGTGAGCAGCTCCAGCACATTCTGTGAGAGCACCTTCAGCACTTCAGTCAATAAAACACCGCCACTTGCACTGCTTGCCCATCACCAAAATCACCCAGCCTAAGCTCAGGGCACCATGGAGAAAGGCGCACATCTGTCCATGTCCCAGCACTAAAAATACTTCAGCTACTCCACACAAAAGTGTGAAAAAGTTTAAACTTACACCTGGCAAAGGACTGATTGCAGTTTCTGCCAATCTGTGTGGCAATCTTTACATCCTGTTAGCTTCAAACAGTTAAAATATTTGTTCCTGGATCTGATGCTGAATTTCAAAACTGAACTCATTTCCACCTCAGCAGTCTGATTCAGCCTCAGGCTGCTCCAGGAGATCTGCTCAAACTGCTTTTTCAATGGGGGACAGTATCATCAAGTACTGATTCCTCAAGTCAGCAAGACATATCCTGCAGTATAATTAACACTATCTGGGCAGGAATTACTGCTAAGTTGTGGCTTATGCTTGTCTGACATTTAACAATTTCATCATTTTATCTGTCTTTTTTAATGTAAATATTAAATTTCTTTTTCCTTTTTCCAGTGTCTCACAAATGCAGCTTGGTTATTTACACTTAGCAGGGGTTTCTACTACTAAAAACTTTAACAAATCACTTCTATTTTTTTTTTTTCAGTTTGTAGGATGAAACCATGGACTGCTTGGACAGAGTGTTCTACGCTCTGTGGAGGTGGAATTCAGGAGCGCTACATGATGGTAAAGAAGAGGTCCAAAAGCACTCAGTTTACCAGCTGCAAGGACAAAAAGGAGCTAAGAGCATGTAATGTCCATCCTTGTTAACAAAACACAAGGTTCCAAGTGATGCACTCTGAGCTAAATGGAAAGTCAACCTTGGTTTGTTTTTTTTTAGAACAACAACAACAACAAAATATAAAGTGTATATTAGTTTTCATTTTTGCAGTGTGGTTTGCTTTTTAGTCTTGCTGGTGCAAGAAAAATATTTTATAAATATTTCCTCACGGATTTATGCTGAGAGTAAGCCTTTGTTACTCCAGCCAGCCCTTAATGCATAAAAATAGTAAAGTCATGGTGAGTTATTTAACTAAAATACAGACACATCTGTGGATTAGGAATAGCCATATAGAAATACCACTTGTAAAGACATGGGATGCATGCATATTAACAAAACTAAGTTAAAGTGACAGGAAGTTTCATCTGTGGGAGGATTTCTCTCTAGATTTGATTTTGAAAATCCAAAGCAGTGCCTCTGTGATTACACAACTATGCCAAGGAGTAATGTCAGTAATGCTGGTTCAATAACATTAAAGGTGCATGTTTATCTTTTTACACTATCGGGTTAAGCTGATAGTTATTATTATTATTATTATAATCTAAACAGTTTTCTTCATATGGATGCTGTGGTCCATAAAAGAAGGGGTTTTTTTCTTCAAAACTTAAAAAGGAAATAATTTTTGTGGCTCAACAGTGATGTCTGACCACCACATTATCACAGTCAAGACAGCACATAAAGAAAACATGCAAGTATATATAATATGTGTACAGTCCATTGCCTTTCAAAATGGACACAGAACTAGTAGAAATTGGTCCAGAGGGTTGCAGCAGCTGTGCCACAGGATGTCTTCCACATGAGGGACACAAAAAAATTAGATTCAGTTTCACAAGGATTTCATTCACAGAAGAAGAGGGAGACAGGTTTATAATAAAACAAGAATGGTAGAGAAAGGGTGAGCCAGGCTCTCATGCATCCCTTAAAACTGAAATGAGCCTCTGAAAGGAAACAATGACAGTCTTAAAAACCCCCTGATTATAGATTGGCACAAGAATACATTTGCAGCAGTGTCATTTATGTCTTTTTTTACTCAGAGCATAGGGTAATCTAAAAATTACCAAATTTGTGAGAATTACCCATTTGTGCATATCCTAGCCAGGTTAAAAGCCCTCCTTGACTACTTAAGTGATTAAAAAACTGCCTGAGATGATGCAATACCTCCTCACTCTTCTATTTGCTATTTTACCCCATCTCCTGCAGAGTTTAGCTCTCATTCCCACACAGAGTTAGGTGTAACCAGGGAGACCCTTGGGCCCCACTTGCTATTGGAATACAACCTTTTCCTGCAATTCTATTTCCCTGTAATAATCTAACATTAAGAGGGGAAGGTGATGGGTTACCTCTTGGTCCAGGCAAGGCAGCATACCCCTATGTCTCTTCTGAAGTAAGAGCAGTGCACTGAAAATAAAGATTGTTGATGCCCACACTTAAGCTTGAGAGAAATGAATGGAGAGAATTTTTTTTAACGGTCTCTAAACCAGCCTTAAGTAATTTTCTCACTCCCTTAACACTTGGTCACTACCCTGAGGACCTGACAGCTGGGTTTCAAATGTTGCTGTGCCCCAGAGCCCTCTGAGCTGTTCATCTTCCCCACCACCACCACCCTGGGGATGCTCTGCACCCAAACAGGCTCGTTGGGCTGGTGGCAGCAATTGTGGGGCTGTTCATCAGCAATTCCCCACTGAACACTGCAAGGGCTGCTCAGGATTTCCACAGCCACCACATCCCACCCCCTCTCAAGGTATTTTACTGCTTTCTGCAGGTTTGGAGTTATGGAAAGGCCAGGGAAGTAATGGAACCAAGGGCAGTGTGAGCCCTCTCCTGCTGCTGCTAAATGAAATGGGTGCACACCCATAGCCAACCAAACCAGGAGAAAAAAAGAATACAGCAAGGTTTAATGCTAAAACCAAACGTTTTACTTTTTGCACAGCTTGGCTCACTTAATAATATTAATTCAGATAGTTTGCCTCCTTGTGCCTGTTCAAAAATCATGCAGTTTATGTCTCTCCAGCATAGCAGCAAGACTTGTCCCTCAGTAGCTCACTTAGGACCTTACATTTCACTTGTATGACCAAAAATAAAGAAAACCCAATGAAAAAACCAGTTCAGTGATATAGGTGCTGGAGGAGCGACGAGCTGAGCATATTTTGGGTAAAGAAACTGCAGAGAAAAGCCACAATGGTCAATGCCAGGGCAGGGCCACATCTCTGGCTGAGCTGACAGAGGGTGTCCCAGCTGAATGAGGCCATTCACTCAGAAATGTAATCTTTGGCCATAAAATGTGTGGCAGAGTGCTTTGAAAGGTTTTGAAGGACCTGTGAGCCTGGGGCAGAGGGAACAGAGGTTTCTCCTGAACGGAAAAAATTGGCTGAGTTCAGGAACCAGATTTATCTCATCAACCACTTGTCCAAGCTTATCTTGCAAAACCATGCCTGTTTCAGCAGATAATCAGTGAAACCCAGTGTTGTATTTTCATTTTCACATTTGTTCCAGTTCATCAAGCTGTTTTGTCTACTAAATACTCCCTTTGTGAAAGGCCACATAGTGCAAATACACTTACAGAAAACATACAACACCTTTCTGAACTTGCCCACAAAATTGTCCATTGAAACAACCTGGCATTCCTTTCTCTGTGCTTCTTACTAATTTCATTCTCCAGATCCTTTCCTTTTTTTCCCCTCTCTCTTAGAAGGCTGTTCAGTGTGATTTCCAGTCATTTCTCTTAGGCTCATTAAAGTTCTGAATGTTGCAAATTGCTTTTTTCCCCACCTTGTTAACAGATGAAATGACAAGGTAATTGCACCGGGTCAGAGATGTGTGACCACTCCTGCTTCTGTTCAGCTCTTCACACTTGCTTTTCTGCGGAAACGTTTTACAGATCTCTTGTCTTTCTTCTAACTTGATACATGAGAAACATTTAGGCTTGTTACATTTTGTATAAAAAATAAAATAAACACAAACAAAAACAAACGAAGGAAATAAAAAAAAAGAGGTTGATTTTCTATTCAGAACAAAAAAAAAGAAAAAGCTCTGATATACAATATGTAGAAATCTTGCATTGTTACTGTAAACTTTCTAGTAGTGTAATAGGCACTGGTTATCAGTCAATAAAAATAAGAACTGTTATTGTTCTGATGTCCTGAATAATCCTGCTGAACTCAAAGCACAGATGTCACACCAGTTTTGTAGACCTCAACTACCAGATCCTAGCATTGTCAGTACCTTTTTTTTCTAATATACAAAGGATAGAATCTTTACACATAATAAAAAAGTTAGGGGCTTAACAAATGTACAGTAGGACTCTGTTTGTGCGACACATGAGTTAAACAAAACTTTGTTGCATTTTTAGATTTCCTTTGTTGTTTTTGTTTGCTGTGGAATTATGAAAAAAGCTACCATGAACATTTCTTACCAAAGTCTTGTGTAGATGTTTTGTAGCTGTCTGCCTAACACATTATTATTATAATAATAATTATTATTATTATTTTGGAATAAAGACATCTTTACTATGAATTTTACACTCATATGAGATTCTGTTCAACTTATATGATTATGTACACCAAAAAAACATTTAATAATATGAGTCAAGTCATGTTCTTATTTACATTTTACTCCTGTTCAAGGTCACAGGATATCAGGAGTCAGTGGATTTTATTAGAACCAGTCATTCTTTCTACTTGGAAGCTGCTTGCATCAAGGTCTTTGTCAAATACTTTGTTGCTCTTTTTAAATCACAGGGTGACTTAGTAACATCACATGATGTATTTGTGTATTACTCTCACGTGGGTTTTGTTGCTGTTGTCGGTTTTTAATAAAAGAGAAACTATTTAAAAGAACACTATTTTAAAGCCTGGTGGTACATGAAAGGAAAAATCATTAGGCTCTCAAAAAGCCTGAGATTTTGTGAAACTTTTGACATCTTTTGTGCTAATGGAAAACTTTTTTGGGACACTGTGGGTTGAGTGTGCCACTGAAAATTACCCAGAAATTTTGGAGGTGAGGGGGGCCACACAGCAATGCTGCTGCTCTAGAAATCCAATTGTCTGTAACAATTGCAGCCAGCTAAAAGCAACCAGTGTGTTCACAAAAACCCCTCTGGCCTAAAACTGAATTGTAACCAGGCTGAGGGGAGGCTGGGGGTAGTAACTGAAATAGGCTAAAATCCCTAAATTCCTCACTACCATGTTTAAGGCACTTTAGTGGTCTTTGCTCCACGTGCAAACCCATTTAATATTTTTATTGCAACACTTTCAACCCTGGGACTCAGTTGTGCAAAACAAAGCAATTCTGTTGAGCTGAGTGATGCTGGGTTCTGTCTTTCCAAAAGACAGAACAATTTGTGCCATGACTTGTGGGTTCTCTGCTTCCTTTTCCCGCCTCTCTTGGGTCTGGATTGAAGGCACCTGAGTGTTGGGAAGGATGAAAGTTTGACAAGAAAGTCTCACAGATATGTGTGCTTGGCAGAAAGATTTTTAAATGTGGAGTCTGATGAGGGAATAGAGATACAAGCAAGTGCTGATATAGAAGAAAAGAATTGCTGAGCCAGTTTTATTGGATAACCAAGGAGGCAAAGGGTGTGTTAGTTAGAAGGGGTTTTTGTGGCTTAGAGCAAAGGATAAACCCACCCCAAACAAGAAGATGTTTGTACCAAGCAGGAAGAAAGCACCGGCAAACAAGCCTGCTGATGTAGCAAGTAGAAAAAAGGTCTCAGAATTTTCCACTGCAAGAAAACTGAAAAACAACTTCTAGCTTAAACTGTAATGTACTGACTTTTAGTGACTGGAGAACAGTAATATGACTATGGTAATTATAGCAGTTATGATAGGCTAGAGATAAAAGTTAAGGTATAGATTGATTCTACTGTATGAAGATGCTCAGCAAATATATAATGCATTGTAACCTAATGAAAAGTATATAATGCACTTGTAACCTAGACTAAGGGTGCAGCTGGAGATGACAGCTGTGGGCACAGGCTCTGTCACCCACCACCCTGGACTGCTGTAATGTTCTTGGGTGGAATAAACTGCATTTTGGAGAGCCCCTGGAGTCCCACATCCCTCATTCAGGCTCTTACACCTGAGACAATAGTTCACATTCTGATTCAGGTGTTTATTGTTTCTTATCAATGTTACAGCCTCACAGCAGCGAGTTCTTTCATTAACAAGGCACAAAATGGCCAACAATCTTGGTACAAGGTCTTTTAAGGCTAAACTATCCAATTAAGAAATGACACCTAGATTATTTTCCCTTTTAATCCAATAACTGATCACTCGAAGCTTGCAATGCGGATTTTGCTGTCCAATCACAAAACATTACCCAAACCTGTGAAGAAGAAGGAGGAAGAAGGTGAAGAAGAAGGAAGAAGTTAAAGAAGAACAACCTGCCTCCACCCTAAAACCTCCATATTGCTTCATATTTATTTCTATATTCAAAAACCCCAAACTCTTACATTTTTCACGTGATATTACACACTTCTAACCAACTCCACACCCGTAATCCCAGTGCTATTAATCAATTTTGGAAGCCTTCTCCACTGCCGCAGGTCAAATGCAGTGTTCTCTTGTGGGTCTGTGCCTTTCAGCACAGAAAGTTTAAAATTCTCAGCATCCAGGGTTCCAACAATAACTGATGGGTGTATTTGTGGTGTTGTGAGGTCCCCAGGACGAAGTGAGAGATGAGAATTTGACTCCAAGTTCTCAGAAGGATGATAGGATATGATATGATATGATATGATATGATATGATATGATATATGATATGATATTATAAACTAAAACTGTACTAAAGAAAAAGAAAGGATACATTAGAAGGCTAGAAAAGAATGAATGATAAAAACCTGTGACTGACCAGAGTCCCAACACAGCTGGACTGGGATTGGTCATTAAATTAAAACAAGTCACATGCTGGGTCAACAATTCTCCACATCACATTCCAGAGGAGCAAAACATGGCAGGGTATTTTGAGATAGGTCTTTTAAATTATATGCACTTCAAAGAAAGACCAAGAGCCTTAAACCCACCCCAACCTGGCCCAAGTGCAAAAAGCACCCCAAAGGTGCTTGGTGTGCACCAAACCAGCTGTACCCAAAGTGCCTTTTTATCTGAAATGGAGAGAGAGAGCATGTGCATACAAAGGAAAAGAGCAAAGCTGGCTCAATCGCAGAACCTTTCCAGGCAATGCTCTCCTTCCCACTGGTGCTGCCAAAAATATTGTGATATTACAAGGAGAATACAAAGGAGTAGCCAGTGGCACTTCAACAAAGCCTCCTTAAGGAACATTTTGAGATACAACTATTGAGACTGGGGTTAGTATTTATTCTCCTTCATAAGCCTTGAGCCTTAAGTAAAAACATAAATAACAGATTCCATATTTTATATGGTATCACATATTGCTTTATCCTCAGAAGTTAAAAGGGGGAAAAAAAAGAATTTTTTTACTTAGAGTATCCTTAAGATCACTTGGGCAGTGAGGGAACCAAAGCAATGTCTAGAAAACACACAGTTAGATTATAAGTAAAAAAATTTGAAAATGGTCTACGTCATGATTTCAAAGTGCATAAAAGGTTATGAATGTTAAATATAATTTTATAGTACTCACAAAAAAAGATACACAGAAAACAAGGTGCACAAGAATAGAAACAGTACTCCCAGAGCAAACAAGCAGCTGTACTATTTAAAAAATCAGAATATTTGCACTCATTCTCAAATATCTTCACTGAAGGAAAAGAAGCTTTTGTCAATCAGTCTACTTGCAAACGTACACTACTATACATTTGTGCTATGTTTATATATGTATACACTATACATATATTTTGTTTTGCTACATCTCAACTTTACAGTTTACACACACCTAAAACGTTAGAAATGAGGATAAATATCTGTAAATTGCGCATTCCTGGGGAACACAGTGTACAGAGAGGATCAATGCAATCACACACAAAAAGGCTTGAAATGTCTTTTCTGGAGAAATAAAGTGATATCCCACTAGGTGGCACTGGAAGCCAACACAGACAGCCCTGTGTGGGTTTAAAAAAAAAGAAGAAAAAAAAAATCAAAAAAGAACTCCAAAAACCTAACAAAATATAAACCCCAAGGAAGCAGA